CAGTTTTTGTATAATATTTTTTTTTCGGTGATGCATCGGTTGGTGGTTGAGATGATCTAACTTTAGAGATACGTTCTAAAATTGCTGTGTTTGATTTTTATCTTATAGATCAGGAATGGAAGCTTGATTATAATGCTTGGTTATTTATAAGGTGATGATAATAATGATGACAAAAATGATCATGATTATAATAATAATAATAATAATAATAATGATAATATTAATGATAATAATGATAGTAACAGTAATAATAATGATAATAATATGATAATAATGATAATCATAACATATTTTCTATTGTTATCATCCCATTTCTTAAAAGCTATTATAATTACCACCATTTTTTTCGCTGCTATAGATATCATTACAGTTCCCCTTTATCGTCACAGTCATTATGTATCTTCATTCGCAACCCTACCCCCCACCCCCACCCCACCCCACCCTCCAGTGCAGGCCTTTACCATAAGAAAAAAAAGGAGTGAGTTTTACGTGTGGAAACCTTCTGTATCTCGGTAAATGTCAAGGAGATGAAGTCTTTTAGCTGTGAAAGGAATGTGGGTTTCTCGTCCTCCTTATGTATCCGCTCAAAAGAGGGACACATATTTAGGGGAGGATGTGTCTGCGATCGCGTGTACTTGGGCACGACTACAGGCTGGCATACAAACAAAAGAATATACATGTATAATTATGCCACGTGTGTATGTGTATCTACACACACACACACACACACACACACACACACACACACACACATATATGTATATATATATATATATATATATATATATATATATATATATATATATATATATATATATATATATATATATGTATATATGTATATATGTATATATGTATTCATGTATATATATGTATATATATACATGTACATATATATTCATATATATGTACATATATATTACATACAAACACACACACACACTCGTATGTGTGTTAGCATCCATACAAAAATACTTACGAACACACACACACACATACAAACCTACATCCCTAAAAATACAAACACCCCAAATGACAAACCTTCCCTCACTGTACCACCATTGCACCATTACTCACCACCATGTACGCGTCGCCGATGGTCTCCACTTTGTACACGTCGTAGTTCCCGATGATGGAGTCGAAGCAGGTGTACAGGTCGTTCAGGAAATCCACCACCTGAGGAGGAGCGAAGTAGGGTTGAGGAAACGTGAGGTGAAGTTTGTTTTTTGATCTGTGTTCGTTAGAAATGATGGAGATCGAAGGAAAAAACACCCATGGAGATTAATGAACGTAATTATCACGTGATGATTGGCAGAGATCGCACAACAACAACGGTTCTTGGCAACACAACGCGAAAATACGGTCATTATCATCCAGGAGAGTTTTTTTTTTTTTTTTTTTTTTTTTTTTTTTTTTTTTTTTTTTTTTTTTTTTACATATCTGATTGTTACCAACTATGCCAAACATCCTTACAGACCTATCTACAAACACAATCTGTTTTTTTTTTACATGTCTGATTGTTGCACACATCTATATACCGAAAGAGCGAGAGCGAGAGAGGTGGAGAGAGAGAAATTGAGAGAGAGAGAGAGAGAGAGAGAAAGAGAGAGAAATTGAGTAAGAGAGAGAGAGATAGAGAGAGAGAGACAGACAGACAGACAAATAGATAAACAGACAACAGACCAACCAAAAGACCAATAGTCAGATACAAAAAAAAAAAAAAAAAAAAAAAAAAAAAAAAACGCGAAAACGAGAATAAAAGAGCGAGAAAAATACACATCCAACTTCAGCCAACACCCATCCCCCCCCCCTCGCCCCCCCCCCACCCTCTCGCCCCCCCCCCCCAACCCCACCCACCTGAAGCGGCGTGGACTCCGCCGACATCTCCGTGAAGCCGACGATGTCACTGAAGTAAATGGTGACCGAATCGAAGTTCTCCGCCTCGACCTTGTGACCTCGCTTCAGCTGCTCCGCCACGTACCGCGGAAGCATCTCGTACAGAAGCGCCTCTGGGGAACGGAGGAGAGAGAGAGGGATGTTTAATTGTTGTTCCTTTGTTTTTTTTTTTTTTTTTTTTTGAAGGTTTTGAGAGTGGAAATGGTGTGAGATGTTCCTTTGAAGCCTTTTTATTATTTTTTATTTTCATTATTATTTTATTATTATTATTTTTATCATTATTGTTATTATTATTTTTTTTTTCTAAAATGTTGTTCACTTGAAGGTGTTAAAAACGTAGTCTTTGTACTTTTTTTTTTTTTTTTTTTTTGGGTGGGGGAGGATTTTGTGTGGATGTTGCGAGATGCTCACTTGGAGACGTTAGGTGTATTTTTATTTATTTTCATATATTTTTTCTTTATTTTTTTCATGATTATGTTCTTAAATATTTTTCACTTGAAGGTGTAAAAAACGGAAGGAGAGTGTGAGGTTTTAATACGTGACAATTTATTTTTTTTTTTGGGGGGGGTTAGAGGGTGGACGTTCTGAGATGTTTGTTCGGAGA